GCTGAAAGGGCGCTGGGATCTCTGTGATTTCCTGTGCAGCAACCCACTGCACTGGCTGAAACAACATCACTGCCCAGGAATCTCCAGGACTGGCTTACTATTTAAGTCCCGTTTAATCAGATGAATGTACTAATCTGCCTCCCCAAATCTCAAATTGCCGGTTTAACAGGGCAACCAGACCATTGTATTTTGTACGGAGGGCCGCTGCACTGTGGCACTGGCCAAAACAGCCGTACTGGCTGAAACAGCCGCACCAGCTGAAACAGTCACGCTGGCGGCCCATGCGGCTCCTACACCTGGGAATCTCCTGTCTGTGGGCAATAAAGATCCATCTGGAAATGTGGTGTCCACTCACCCTCTGCACTTTCACTGGGAGCTGCAATCCTGAGTTGCTCCTATAGTGCCATCTTCTCCGGCACAACCTCCTATTTGGCACCTTTAAAATACCATACACCTAGATGGAGAGGCAGCTGGTCCAGCCTCAGGAGGCTTAGCCTGCTGGGATCAACTCTGGCACTTGACAAATTATTGGTCCTGGAATCCATCCCACTTCTGTTTGAGGTTGACCACAGGCTGCCTGAGTTGTATTTAGAAGTCCCAGCTCAAGTGAATTTTTTTTTTCTAGACTAATCCTTGCTCTGTCACCAGGCTGGAGTGTGGTGGTGCCATCTCTGCTCACCACAGCCTCAAATAAAGGATCTTAAAAGTAGCAAGACAAAATAAACAAATAATGTAAAATGTAGCTAACAATGTAATAAAACAAATAATGTAAATAAAAATAAAATAACAGCATAAAAAGCTCTAATACATTTGGCAGCAGACTTCTAAGAGGAATTCTTACAGGTCAGTAGAGAGTGGCATGACATATTTAAAGTACTGAAGAAAAATAAACAAAAAAACAAAAATCATAATTTTACCCAGAATAGTATATCCAGCAAAAATGTCCTTCAAACATGAAGGAGAAATAAAGACTTTTCCAAGCAAACAAAAGCAGAGGAATTTTAACATTAGACCTGTCCTACAAGAAATGTTAATGGGGTTCTTTGATATAAAAGAAAAGGACATTAAAGAGCAATAAAAAATCATCAGAAGGTACAAAACTCTCTGGTACTAGTAAGTACACAAACAAACACAGAATATTATAACACTGTAATTGTGGCATGTAAACTACTCATATTTTGAGTAGAAAGAATAAAAAAAGAGCCCACCAAAAATAATAAAACAACTTTTCAAGACTTAGTATAGTAAAATATAATAATAACAACACAAAGTTAAAATGTAGGGTAGGAACCAAGTTAAAAGGCAGTTTTATTTTTTTTTCTCCTTACTTGTTATCATTTTTAAATTGTCATCATTTAAAAAAATGGGATATAAGGTGTTATTTACAAACCTCTTGTTAACCTCAACTAAAAAAAATACTACAACTGATATACAATATATGAAAAGCAAGAAATTAAAGTATACAACAGATAAAAATTACAAAAATATATAATAAATAAAAATCAAGAAATTAACACTAGAGAAAATTACCTTCACAAAAAGGAAGACAGTAAGAAAAGAAAGAAGTAAAAGATCACAAAATGACAAGAAAACAATTAAAAAATGGCATGTGTTAGTCCTTTATTAAAGAAGTGCTGATTTTTATTTCTGACAAAATGTCCTTAGATCTTTTGAATTTTTATTTGATGATAATTATTTAACATTTAAAAATCATTTGTTTGTTTTCTAATTTCAATTTTTTTTGCCTAGCATTTTGAGCCCATTAAATTTACACTCATGTATATGTAGCAGTTACAGGAATATTATTTTAAATTACATTTCTCATTACTTTTGTTCTAATGACTCTAGCTTATTTAATAGGAAAGTGTTTAATTTTTAGGTTTGGCGTTAAATTCTGTTTTTCTATCTTTTGTTTCACCCTATTTAAAAATTATTTCATTTCATTATCTTTCTACTTTGTGAATAGGGATCATTCCTCTAATTTTTCTTCTTTATCACTGGTTTGATTAATTCCACTCTTGAATATTAGTTGTTTTTAATAGGGCACATTTAGAGTTTTATTTAGCTCATAAATCAGCAGTTGATAAGGTGATGCCTATACTTTTATTCATTAGATGTATGTGCTCCATTTTCATTTTCATCTGAATCCTGATATTTTTCTTCATTCTGTTGATTATGTAAATCACTTTGCAGAAATTTTTTCTGTAATCTGCATGAGATTCTGCTCTACTGTTTCCTTTTTCTCTTTTCTGTTCTTTCTTTTTTTTATATTTTTAAATAAAATTTTATTTGTTGATTATGATAATAATACTAATAAATGATGCTATTATGTTATTTGCAATATTTAGTCCATGATGCACTTTCATCTTTGGCCCATTCATAGCTTTTTCTTATTCATTTAGCTATTTACATACTCATTCATTCCTTCATTTGGTAATTTATAGTGACATAATAAACTTCTGTGACTCTACCACACAAAATTCAAATTAGGGCAATTACTTATCTCTGATTTAAGATTTTCTACAAAAATTTCATATGCCTATCTCCTCTCACCAAGTTAATAGCAATTCTGAATTCTACATTATTTGTAATTTGACTTTTCTCTGTGTAAGTAACTTCTTCTGTATATATTTATCAAATAGTATTTTTAGCTTATTTGTTTAAAACATTACAAAAAGGAAATCATATGAATAGGATCTGATTTATTAATGTTTTCTTTTGTACTTTATGTTGTATGTGTCCTCCATTTTTTTTTTTTTTTTTTTTTGAGATGGAGTTTTACTCTTTCACCCAGGCTAGAGTGCAGTGGTACGATCTTGGCTCACTGCAACCTCTGTCTCCCAGGTTCAAGTGATTCTCCTGCCTCAGCCTCCCAAGCAGCTGAGATTACAAGTATCTGCTACCACACCTAACCCATTTTGTATTTTTAGTACAGACGGGAGTTCACCATGTTGGCCAGGCTGGTCTCAGACTCCTGACCTTGTGATCCACATGCATCAGTGTACTAAAGTGCTGAGATTACAGTCATGAGCAACTGCACTCAGCCTTATATGTGTCCTCTATAAGAAATCTTTCCCTGCAGCTGTGAATATGAAGTTGTTTTCTGTGCTATTTTCTAAAAGCTTTATTCTTTTGTCTTTCATATTTCAATTCATAATTTCTTTAGAATTAACATTTATATTAATGTAGAGGTAAAATGTAGAGGTTAAGATTCATTTGTTGTAGTATGGATAATGAATTGATCCAATACAATTTATTTATTATTTATTTAGTTTTTACTGGGTTACTGCTATGGTTTGAATGTTTATGTCCCATCCAAAATGAACATCAAAACTTAAATCCTAACGCAACAATAGTAGAAGGTAGAGTCTTCGAGAGATAATTAGGTCATGATGGTGCCACTCTTCTCAAAATATCATTTTATTTCTCCTGAAATAAAAATGGCTTCACACAGCATTTTCCCCTTTTTTTCCTTCTGTCTCCATGATATGAGGATGCAGCTGCAAGACACGCTCTTGGAAGAAGGAGCAGCTCTACCAGACGCCAAAATTGCCAGTGCCTTGATCTTGAACTTTCCAGCCTCCAGAATAATGAGCAAATAATTATCTCATTTTTATAAATTACTCAGTCTAAGTTTGTTTTGTTTTGTTTTCATCATAAAGACACTAAAAGAATTACTGTAGCTTGTGTTAGGCGCCATGGCTCACACCTGCCATCCTAGCACTTTGGGAGGCCAAGGTGGGTGGATCACCTGAGGTCAGGAGTTCAAGAGCAGCCTGGCCAACATGGTGAAACTCCATCTCTAATAAAAATACAAAAAATTAGCCAGGCGTGGTGGTGGACACCTATAATTCCAGCTACTAGGAAGCCTGAGGCAGGAGAATTACTTCAAACTGGGAGGCAGAGGTGCAGTGAGCTGAGATCATGACACTGTGCTCCAGCCTATGCAACAAGAGCGAAATTTAAAAAAAAAAGAAAAACAAAGACAAAAATAACAAAGAATAAGAGAATTATGTAACCCTTTTTGTTTCTAATTGGGTATTGGATGACTGCATATGTGTGGATTCGATTTTAGACTTTTTATCAGGACAAATGGAAGCTAGAAAGTGGAATGACATATTTAAATGCTGGGAAAAAAATTCCAAAAAAAAAAAAAAAATTCAACCAAGGATTCAATATCCAGTGAAAGTATGCTTCAAAAATAAAGGTAAAGTAAAAGTGTAACCTGATAAACAAAGATGAAGTATTATTTGCAGATGTGCTCTATAAGAAATTCAAGAAGAAATGTTTCAGAATCACAGGAAATGAGGGCAAACAGTAACTTGAATCCACAAGAAGGAAGGAAATCCCCAAAAATAGTAAAGAAAGAAGAGAGAAGCCAGACGCAATGCAAGAAAAGTCTTTACTTCAATTTTTGAGGTTTAGTCCAGGGAAGATTAAACTGTTGTGGTGGGTGTCACTATGTCAGTTACCTTGGTTGGAATTGGGGAAGCAGTTGTTGCCTGGGAAGTGCATGAGAAAAGAATCTGGAGATTTTGAAATATTCTACAGTTTTATCTGGGAGGGGAATATATGTAAAACTTTGGTTGCACATTTAACGTTTCTGTCCTTTACTCAGTGTGTGTTTATCTCGATTAAAAAAATAAATACAAAGACTAAATCTGGACTCTTAAACAGCTATAAACAAAAAGTCAGAATCAGTAAATATTTATAAAAACTCAGCCTTATGAAAGAGAAGTGTAAAATGTGCCTGAGAAAGTGCTAAGAAATAAGAAATCTTACAGAGAAGACAGAAGGAAATGCCTAAATTTCTCCCACATAGGCAACATAGATTTTATGTATGTTGGTTTCCCTTCAAACAGAGAAGATATTTAAGTCATTTTGTTCACAAGAGTGGCTCCCACCCTCCACTTGGCTCTTTCCACCCCACTGCACCCACCAGGAGATTTGCATATTGTCCCCTAGGGAGGACCTTCTCTTGTGAGTCTTAAGATAAAAGCTCAGCTCTATGTTTCCAATGACTGATCAGGACTTCCCTGTTCACCTGCTCACAATGAGGCTCCCTGCTCAGCTCCTGGGCATGCTGATGCTCTGGCTCCCTGGTAAGGACAGAAGGAGATGAGAAAGGAGAGTGGGATGGGAGGGTGAGCTCTGGGGGCACACTGCCTTCCATGTGTGTTCCTTCCATGTGTTAGATGTGCAGGTCTTGTCCTCCCAGATGGAGCATGTGAGATTTAGATCTGAGAGAGAGAGGAAGGTTCCAGAAGGACCAAAGACCATGTGCTCTGGGGAAGACTGTACAGAAAGAGAGGATGGTGTGGGCATTTCTGGAGACCCCCTTGAGCACTGCATCCTTTAAGTTCCATTTTGAAATGGGATATTATTGGAATATGAATCAAAATTTAAAAATATATATAGCCTGAAGTAAACAACTAATGAAAATTATAAAAATGATACATAAAATTTATACATAACCTTGATCTTTTTTTCTTATTATTTCAGGATCCAGTGGGGTTATTGTGATGAGCCAGACTCCACTCTCCCTGACCGTCACCCTTGGAGAGCCGGCCTCCATCTCCTGCAGGTCTAGTCAGAGCCTCCTGCATAGTAATGGAAACACCTATTTGCACTGGTTTCTGCAGAAGCCAGGCCAGTCTCCACAGCTCCTGATCTATAAGGTTTCCAACCGGGCCTCTGGAGTCCCAGACAGGTTCAGTGGCAGTGGCTCCGGGACAGATTTCACACTGAAAATCAGCAGGGTGGAGGCTGAGGATATTGGGGTTTATTATTGCATGCAAAATACACAACTTCCTCCCACAGTGGTACAACCCCGAACAGAAACCTCCCTGCTGTGGTGGCCCAGCTGCCCATATGTGCTGCTTGTCTGGGCAGCAGCTCAGCAGGTTCTCTGAATCTGTGTAAGAGAAAGATGCTGGAGGGCTAGGGAATAGTTTGCATCCAGGGTTTCTGGATCATGAGCACTTCAGCTACACCTTGAGGACAACCTGTTCATGTCCCTGTCAGCTCAAACAGCCTTGACTGGTATAAGCAATAGGGTACTGAGGAGCTCCAAGTGACCTCTGAGTAAACAAACATAATGGAGAGGAGAGATTATTGAAAATCTTACCATAATCCTCTCTCCTTGCCTGCATTTGTTAACTTTTATCAGCAAAATAGAAAATTGACACATTTCTAGCAATACATGAATACATCTGGGGGATTAACAGTATTTTGTATATGTTTAAGAGAATGTTTAGTAAAATTCCATTTTAATTTCTAGGGGATTCTGATTCTGCTGCTCTAATATGTACTTCATGGTGAGTAGTTATTTGTTAAAGGCTCCTTTGATTTGGTGCTTGAATTTAATCTAAGAGAGATTAAATAAAGGGAAACTAAATATTTCTTAAATTTTGTGAATTTTTCTGTTTGTACATCAAAAAAGGAGAGTTATCTGGCAAGAATTCAGACTACCTACACCCTCCAAGAGTGAGAGTCTGTCCACTGTCTTAGTTTGTCCCCCCTCCTTCCGCCCACCAGTGACAAGGATTTCCATGCAGGCAGAATATGTACAAGGTGCAAGAAATACCGGGAGGAAACAGGGAAGAGATGTGAGGAAGAGAGGAGAGGCTATCACTGAGGATCCCTGGGACTCAAGCCCACATGTAAACACATGGAAAATGCATCTGGGTTATTCCACCCAAGAGGTGAGATAGCTGGGGTATGTATACACCTTTCTGTCCTCATTAACTGAGAGCTGTCCTAGGGAAGGCTCATGCTCATTCCAGGCCCTGAGATCTGCCATGTGTGCAAGTAGAGCTGTCTTCCCAGCTTTAGAGAAAGTAGCGGGGGCAGACATAGCCATGGGGAGTCAACGTAGTACAGGGAAGGGGAAAGGTGGAGGGTTACAAAAGTGACTGCTACATTTACACAGAAAAAAAAGTATGTGTATTTCAATCCAGAGCCATATCTCTCTGAACCTGGATCCTAACAGTGTTTGGTAGCAAGATCCCTTAAAATTCAGGTCCCTGAAAAAGCAGCAGGAAGATTGCACACAGTATGCACCACCAAGGTCTGGCCACTCCTAGTCTTGCATGAGGAATACTCCCCACATTCCTGGCCTCTATTCCACTGAGGCTGATATAATTGGTTCCACTTTGCCTGATGCTGAATCAAATCAGTGTCCAAGTTTTATCCTGATTCAAAATATTTATCCATGTCCATTGGTGCTGGCTTGACAGTAGATAGAGATGCTTTTCTGGATGTGAGACAGGGAGGCTGACGTCTGGGTAAGGGTGATGTGCCCACTCACTGCTAAAGAGTAAAAGAGGAAAGTGGCATTGACAGTGCATGGCAGGGACATTCACTGAGCATCAGCCACCCTTGCTAGAAAAGACGATTCACTGACCTGGCCTTTCTTTATGGGTTCCCTGTCACCTGCTCTCCAGAAAGCTAGGCTCCAGCAGAGCTGGGCCGGAGATCACACAAACATCTTGGTGGGGGCGCAACTAAGCATTACTGAGGGGATACGAGCTTGGTCTTCCTATTTTGGAACAACTGATTATAGAAGTCTGGACTGATCCAGAATTTGTTTATCCTAACTCAGGCTCCTATAGTTTGATGAAGAAACAGAATTTTGTTGAAGAAAGCAGATCTGGCGTCAATAGTCAGCTCTTTATTCTGATGAACTGGGGGTAAGAATATCCAGTGTCAAAAAAGAAGGTAGAATATAGGGGTCTATAAACCAAGAATTAGGTCCAGCCCATTTAGTTCCTGGGTATTAGAGAGACCTATATATAGCTCTGGATCATGGTGGATTTGGGAGGCGCACGTGCACTGAGGAATCATTTTATCATCTTTATATATCTGCAGAGAATTGCTTGATTTTATACTGGTAATAACAATGGCTTAAGGTCATTGAAATATATATATATGAAACATGCTTCTAATAATTTTTTTCACTTTATAAATGAAAACCATTTCACACTGACAGTGATGTTGTTAGTACAGAACAAAGGATTTTTACTCTCACATCTATCTGAGAGCAACTTGATAGCCTCACCCTCTACGACTTTATTATATATTCCCTACAAATAAGGATAGTCTCCTACGCGCTCCCAATACAACCATAAAATACATTATTTCATCTAGTTGCCAGGGCTATTTTAAATTTCAACAATTGTTCCAAACATAACTCTTGTAACAACAGTGGGTCTAGGAAGAAACATGTTCTCTGCAGTCAGGTCTGCACTGCCCTGGTCTGACCTGGGATACTGAGGACACTGGGCCTGTGCTAAATTACTGAGATGAGCCAGCGCTGCAGCTGTGCCCAGCCTGCCCACCTCCTGCTGATTTGCATGTTCTCAGAACACAGCCCCCTGGCCCAAAGTCTTCTTAATAGACTGGTGACAGCCTTTGAAGGGGTCATTCCTAGTCAGGACACAGCATGGACATGAGTGCCTTCACTCAGCTCCTGGGGCTCCTACTGTTCTGGCTTCCAGGTAAAAAATAACATGAGGAATTTACCCAATCAGTGTGCTCAGTACTACCTGGTAATTCAGGGAAGTCTTCTTATAATATGAATAGAGTGGATATTTGTTTTCATGTTTCCAACTTTTGGTTCCAAATGTGACATCCATAGGACTCATCTTCATCCTCCCTGTCTGTATTTCTAGGACACAGAGTCACCATCACTTGTGGCTGGTAAGGACATTAACTATTATTTAAACTAGTATAAACAGAAACCAGGGAAAGCCCCTGAGCACCTGGTCTATGGAGCATGTAGTTTTACTATCTGGATCCCATTAAGGTTCAATGGTAGTGGATATGGGACAGATTATTCTTTCACCATCAGCAACCTGCAGCATGAAGATGTTGCAACATATTGTTGTCAACAGGAAAGTTATTATCCTCTCAAAATGATATATGAGATATATAACTATGGACAAGTTATAACATAAACCCCTCAGGATTGTTTAGATCTATTGCAAAAATAACGCTTAGGGAAGCAAATGTGTGAGGTTGAGTTGCTGTAGGCGCTCCTACTGGTGCCTGCATATGCTGAGAGTGTTTCTCAAAATGCAGCCAAGTGTTGAAAGTCTCTGGGAGGTTTTGGTAAAAAGGGCCGTGAAGCTTCCTCTGCACCTTGTCTTTGCTCCTCCTTATCCCCAGCAGCACAACGCCAATGTCCCTCCTGATTTCATTAAGAGCAATTGAAGAGTCCGAAATATGGTCTGTTGGAATTCATACAGTCAAGGAGAAGTGACTCTAGGTATACCAAGTAGGACTTTTTTTTCTTTTTTTGAGACAGAGTCTTGCTCTGTCACCCAGGCTGGAGTGCAGTGGTGCAATTTCAGCTCACTGCAACCTCTTCTTCCTGGGTTCAAAAGATCCTCATGCCGCAGCCTCCCAAGTAGCTGGGACTACTGGTGCATGCTACCACACCTGTCCACTTTTTTATATTTTTAGTAGAGACACAGTTTTGCCATGTTGGCCAGGCTGGTCTCGAACTCCTGACCTCAGATGATCTGCCTGCCTCGGCCTCCCAAAGTGCCGAGATTACAGGTGTGAGCCACCTCGCCTGGGCAGGATGTTTTTTATTTTTATTTTTAACTACAGGGAATAAGAGTCTAACCTACAGAATTTTAAAGGCCTCTGGGTATGGTAATGAAAGATGCATAAGCTAGAAAAGGGAGATTCTCTGGATTTCCCAAGAATCTAATTGCATCTGCCTCAGAAAATACAATTGCCTAGCCATGTGCCCCTGAGACCTGACGGGGAAGCCAAGGTTTGGGGATGCTGATGCTTTCAGCTGCCTGCAGTACCTCGCCAGGTGATCTTCACCTCTGCCCATGTGTCTTCCTTCAGGTGCCGATGAATAATATTGAATCCTCCTCTTCTAACTTTGAAATCTCAGGGAGGGCCTCTCATTGAACAACTCTTCAGGAAACCAAAGAGGAAAGGGTTTCTGGCAAATGTGCTTCTGGAATGATAGTGATGAGGGGAAGTGACAGCTGACATCCCATTGTGGTCACTGTATTCAACTCAGAACTTTTTCAGTAAGATCATGGACCCCAAATACACAGAATCAATGGGCTACTTCTTTTAGTTTGAGTTAAAAATTATGTATTTAGATTGATGCAAAAGTAATTGCAGGTTTTACCATTAGTTTTGATGGCCCAAACCTCAGTTACTTTTGTACCAACCAAAGTAGATGATTTTTAATCAATTACATTTTCTAGGATAAGAGATTAATAGAAATTGTCATATTCTATTTTAAATTTCACCTAGGTCTTCTAGGCTTCCAGAAAACAAAAAAAGTTGGCCGGGAGCACTGGGTCATGCCTGTAATCTCAGCACTTTTGGAAGCCAAAATGTGTGGCTCACAAGATCGGGAGTTCAAGATCAGCCTGGCCAATATGGGGAAACCCTGCCTCTACTAAAAATACCAAAAAAATTAGCCTGGTGTGGTGGTGGGTGCCTATAGTCCCAGCTTCTAGGGAGGCTGAGGCAGGACGATTGCTTGAACATGGGAGGCAGAGGTTGCAATGAGCCAAGATCGTGCCACTGCACTCCAGCCTGGCAACAGAGTAAGACTCCGCCTCATAAATAAAAAGAAAGTAGTTTTCTGGGTTGAGAATGTTTCTTACTTATGAGGGCAAGAATATTAAATATGAGTAAGATCTGATCAAGGAAGTTTCTCAGAAGTGATCTTGCCTCTAGTAATCTATTAAGCATTATATTTCATCTTCTGGCTGCTCGTAGAATGTCAATTTATTTTACTTTATTTTACCTATTTTATTTTATTATTGATTCTTCATTCTCTTTATTGGGAGGTATTTTAGAAGGGCCAATTTCTAGAGGTGCTGAAATGTGAAAGCAGTTGATACTTAATTGAAGATGTGAATTTTGAGTG